CTTTTAAAATTTTTTATATAACATGACTTTCGCGATCAAACTTTAACAATTGTTAAAGTAAAATTCACTGTAAAACCAATAAATTTCACTGTAAAACCAATCATCGCTAGTTTGTTCGTTTACCGCTATGAGCGCTATCTCTCTCGTATTTAGTTTTAGTTATGAGCATTATATAAAGTTTGCAAAGAATGACAGATAAAATTAGAAATATTACTTCAATTTAATTTCTTATATAATCTCAATAGAGAGCCTTCAGATATTAAATCGATTTAATAAGTCGGACAAATAAATGTCTGGCTACTTAATGAAAATTATTCATTCGTTATTTATTTAAAATAACAAGTTCAATATACATGTAATATAAATAAAATAAAATTTTTAATATAATAAATATTTAGTAAATATAAATAAAATTTTTATTTTTATATATATTTATTTATATTTATATATATTTATTTATTTTTATATTTATTATATTTATATTATATTTATGAAATAGATAGAGACCTAGGTAGCAAGATGACGTCTTTAGACGTCATCTTGCTACCTGGGGAGATGAATTGTAGTTTAATATTACTGGCAATAACGAAAGAAATATTACTGAGATATTACTGATTGAAATAGTCAAAATTATTAACTGATTCTTTTAATAAAATATCACTGATTTAGAATGCTGTACTTATAACTGCTGTAATCAGTGACTAATCATTTACTGTTTTTTAGTGATAATGTACCGATTCACTTTTAGACAATGCTTTATTCGACAATACTATTAAATATATTATTATGCTAAGAAAAAGATGTCAAAATATGATACATTTTATGACGTCAAAATGCGATACATGTCATGACGTCAAGAATCTGTGACATTAGGGTTCAGTTCCACAATCCAGTTAATCCGAGTTTAAGTAGTGAATGAACCAATCAGGACCCAGTTTAACGTATTAAATTCGGATTAACTCGAGTTGTGAAGTCGGACCTAGATCGTCACTTTTACGTCATAAAAACGTCGATTCGTGACGTCAAGAATAGTCAGTGAATGACCAATTTGAAACGTCAAAATGACGTGTGCTTGCTACCTGGGATGAGATACTAAGTATATACTAACAATGCTCTAATGTCCGCCTATTTTGGTTAATAGTAAATACTGAGAATATGTTGTACTATAATTCATATATGTGATATAAATACTTTTAATAAATGCTCTAAACGCACACACTATTTCTCATTTTAATTTCAAATAATCTTTTTAATATTCTGAATCCCAACAAAGAATCCAGAACAACTAAACTACTAAACAAATAAAAAATTTTCAATTAAGTCAGTTTATTATAAATTAAACTGAGTAAAAAAAAAGAAGAAACTTTGGAACTCATGTTAGTACCAGTCTTTTATATCCATTTCATCAAAAATTAAGTACGAGTTTGATAGCGCGCGTAGCGGCAAAATGAGGAAACACATGCAATATTATAGAATATCCTGAAAATATACGAGAAAGAATATACTAATACAAGACATGCAAAGTATATTCTGAGAATATATGAAAAATAATATACAATAAAAGATGTTATGGGATTATTCTCAGTATATTACATCTGTAACGTATATTTACAGTATGAATATAGAATATTCGAATGATATCATGTACTGTTAGGCTTATTACAGTTTTCGTATGCATATCTGTCGAATATCGTGATTTTCTTCACATTATTCTTATCCATTTAATCTACGAAAAATACCTGCAACAATCGAAAACAAACCGCCAACCGCGAACGAAAAACGCCGAAAAAGCACACAATTTCCGCGAATTTACTATCCAGATAGCAAAATCGGATAGAGCACGTTTTGCAATTTATGTGCTGCATACTATGTCAGCAGAATGGTGTCAATATTCTAGCAAAATATGCCGTTTCAGTTAATGTTGTCAGAAACACAGCAAAAGTTGAGCATAATGTGCGTTACGATGAAATGATAGAAATGCAGCAGAAATAAAGCAGAGTTTTACCAGCATAAATAGAACAATTCAATGCTGGAATAATGTGTCGGCAGAATGCATACTGAGAGTACGCATAATCTGTTGTCACAGTGTAATAGCAAAATCTCATCAGAAATATCAAACTTGTGCAAGCACGCTATGACAGTAGAAACACAGCAGCAATGCAGCATGCTCTGCCGTCATACGATGACATTTAATTTTTAAAATACAGGATCTGTGCGACGCAATTTGACAACAGATTGTCGGCAGAAATCGAGCAGGATCTGTGCACAATCTCTGATAGCAGATTGATGGCAGAAACGGAACAGAGTTTGCATGATTCGATAGTTCCTTCACTTACCGCTACGTGAGCTGTTCTTTCTCGTAATTGAATTTCTGTCAGAAATATATATAAAGTCGCGAATATGAATAAAAGAAAAATTGAATTAGTCTTTCACTATATGAGATATAACTACGATATAACATATTACATATATGTCATTTTCTAAAAAAATTCTAATTAACTTGCTGATAATATTGTTATTTGGCATCTGTAATAATCCATTTTGTTGCATTTATATAACATTAATAAAAGTAAGCGCAAATCTTGTTGAAATTTCTGCTGTCAATTTGTCATCAGGTTGCATGCGCAGATTCTGCTCGGTTTCTGCTGACAATCTAACATCAAATTGCACGCGTAGATCCTGCTCAATTTCTGCTGTTATATCATGACGGCACACTGTGCTTCACTTCTGCTGCATTTCTGCCATCACATCATATTGGCACATCGTGTTGGGAAAAAAGAAACTTAATGAGGACACAGCTGAGCGATATCTGCTGCAAATTCATGATTGAATCTGCTGTTATACTGCTGGCATACTGCTAGCATTTTGCTATCTGGGTATATATGTATAAAAATTGTAAGCTTTTCCAACAGGGTAACAACACGAAAAGCAAAAAATTATCTATAATGTATTTAAGTTTTTATCATCAATCCTAGGAGAATTTAAATGTGTGTGTGTATGTGTGTGTATTTATAAATTATGTGTTGCAGATTATTCATATACAATGGTACGCTGCTTAGTAAGTTCAGTAAGGTTTATACATAAGCAAGCTTGAATAAAAGTTTAAAATTCGAAATAATTGTTATTATCAATAGCCCTTTTATTATAGTTATTATTTTATCATAGTCATTACTTAAAATTTATTATTATTTTGAAAAAAAGGTAGATTTTTCAACATAAAATAATAAATTCGATGTATGGTTTTTTATTAAACACATATAGCTATGTATAATACAAGTAGTCAGAACACATTATTTTATTTCTAGACTGATCGTTTTAGATTTTAAGCTTAAATCTTGTTTCAGAGATGTTCTTCATTGCTGTTTATTATCCAAAACAATATCTTTCCATTGTATTGAAAAATATATTTTACTTTCCTTTTTTAATTTCTTATTTCTTTTTTTTTCAATTATTTATAAGATTAGAGACGTCAACTTATTTCGTATTAAACGTCATTGCGCGTGCGCATCATTTCATCCAATGAAAAGTGTTCACAGTTTACCTCGTCGCTCCTCCCGCAGTGGCTTCTCCCCCCTTGTCTAAATATTGGGTTCATGCTCCATCTCTATCTTACTATATCTATGGATCTCATTAAAGTCACTAGATTAACAAAGTACCGCAATTTTGAAATTTCTCAATAAAGGCTTTCGCACATGAATTGCCATAACCATAAACGTAAGCTGAAGAACCAATCAGAATATTGCTTTAGCTTTATGTATCCTAGAAGACGATAGAAACGATGATAAAGTTGACTGTAAGCAGAAGTAACTAGGATTTTAACTGATTGAAATCCTAGTTACTTCTGCTTACGGCCAACTTTATCATCATTTCTATTGTCTTCTAGGATACATAAAGCTAAAGCAATATTCTCATTGGTTCTTCAGCTTACGTTTACGTTTTACGTTTATGGTTATAGCAATTCATGTGCGAAAGCCTTAAAGGCCGCAGCACACACTTTTGCATAAGCGCATAACCATAAGCATAAGAAAATTGATTGGTTCATTTTCTTATGCATATACTTGGGGACCAATCAATTTCCTTATGCTTATGATTATGCGCTTATGCAAGAGTGTGTGCTGCGGCCTTAAGGCTGCGTTCCATTTCACGCATATGCGCGCATTTATCTATAGTATACGTTACGCATACTATAAATAATGCGCGCATATGCGTGAAACGGAACGCAGCCTAAGATAGGCTGATGGCAGAGAACTAGATGTCTGTCGTAGTCGTGGACGTAAAGTAAGACAGAGAAAAACGTAAGTCGTACAAGGCCATTGTAAGAGCCTATCCAGACAAACTTGCATATGCATAACATAAGACCATATGGACCAATGAGCATCGAGTATTAAATCTCGCTATATTGACTTACATAACATAATACTCGATGCTCATTGGTCCATATAGTCTTATGTTATGCATATGCACCTATGCAAGTTTGTCTGGATAGGCCCTAACAATGACCTACGACAGACATCTAGTTCTCTGCCATCAGCCATAAGCTGGAGCAAAAATGGCGTCCGATAGTATAGATATAGGCTGCGATTGTTGCATTTCTCCATGCAACAACCTGGTATTTTTGATATTTTCTTCTTTTTCTGCGCAACAGAAGGAGTTTCCTCACCTCACACACAACAGGACACAGGACAGACCAGGATCAAGGTTAGAAAAATTGCACTTAGTATAGATAGCTACACAAAGTGTGCACTATCTGCACTATCGGACGCCATTTTTGCTCCAGCTTATCTTATTGAGATCAAAATTGCGGTACTTTGTTAATCTAGTGACTTTAGAACTCATCTGCTCTAACCGCCATCTTACTTGTGGAGATTGCCCGATTAGACACAGTACGATTAGACACAACCAATCATATCGACCGATGCCTAGGGTAACCAGCACGATCAAGCACGATTAGCCAATCAAAGCCAGTTGTGTCCAATTGTACTGTGTCTAATCGGAAGTGTCTCTTACTTGTCATCCAAGTGCTCTCTGGAGTACATTGGAGCATGCGACGCGAACAAACCTTATGCGTGATAGCCATTAGGTATTAGGTTACAGTTTCTCTACACTCTGCCATGGATGATTGGAAAGCACTTGTAAATATTGAACTACATTTATTTATTATATATAACCCTCAATATATAAAATTTTACACATTGTTTTCAAGAATATCTTTATATATTTACTTTATTTATTTAGAATATCTTTATATATTTAGAAGAAAGAAAGATTATTGTTAATATAAAAATATCAAAATATATAAATTCTAAATTTTTTATTCTTAATTTTTCTCAATCTTCATTGTATAGTTTGACATGGATGTAATTCCTTACAATTCTTGTGTATTGTTAATTTTGTGTACCTGTTTATTATGAATGAATGACAAATGCTAAACAGAATGTAAATTGTGATATTTGATGCATAATTAATTCATATTTAAGAAGTTAAATTATTAAATAATTAAAATAGTAACCATCAATTGTAAGATTTGTTTTCGAGAGCAATTATTAATATAAATTCCATTTTGTGAGTCGGTAAAAGAATTATAAAAACTTAATTTATATTCTTATTTTAAGAATAGGACATATTTGAAAGATACAGCAAAACATTTGTAAAAAAAATTGGATTCATGAGCAGGAAATTGAATAAAAAGTTAAGCTGTAGACTACATCAAGATTAAAGATTGGAATTTGATTAATCAAAATAAAAGAAGCTAAAATCTTTTTATTCTTTAATTATTTTAACTTAAATTGATTAAATGATAAACTTATTTAAACTTACTTAATGATAAGTCTTAATAAGTTAATATCTTAATTTATTAAAAAGACATTTTTAGTCAAACGTACATTCATGATACATTCATGAATTTAACTGCTCTCAGAATAATTTATTGCAAAGATACTGTAATAAAATAGAATAAATTATTATACAAATTTTCCTAACGTTTATAAATACAGTAACATCTTGTATTAGATATATAAAATTTTTTATTAATTTTATGTAAAAAATAAATAATTGCTATTAAACAGGGGCTTGTGGACACACTATGTACCACATGTATTCAATTAAAATGGAACGAACCTACAAAAATTCAACGAGAAGCTATTCCTTTAGTACTCGAAGGTAATGTTAACAACGAGACAATTATATCATAATACAATATTATCATAAATTCTAGAAAAATATATTAATATATTGATGTGACAATATTTATTTGATAGGCAAGGATGTAATAGGATTAGCAGAGACTGGATCAGGAAAAACTGCTGCTTTTGCATTGCCTATACTACAAGCATTATTGGAGAATCCTCAAAGATACTTTGCGCTTATACTGACGCCTACAAGAGAGTTGGCTTTCCAGATTTCAGAGCAATTTGAAGCACTAGGTAAGAATGAAACTTATTTTACCTCATTAAGATCATCTCATCATAAGATCTGATTTGATACCATATTTGTTTTAGGTTCCAGCATAGGTGTAAAATGTGCAGTGATAGTAGGTGGGATGGACATGCATGCACAAGGATTACTCTTAGAGAAAAAACCTCATATCATCATTGCTACACCTGGTCGATTAGTTGATCACTTGGAGAATACAAAAGGCTTTAACTTACGGCAAATAAAATTTCTGGTAATCATACATGCAGAATATAATTTAGTTTGATGATTGAATTAATTCTATAATCTTTAATCTATCATCTCCTTTCTTTTGTCTTATTAACAAGATTATGGATGAGGCAGATCGTATTTTGAACATGGATTTCGAGGTAGAAGTTAATAAGATTCTCCGCGTGATGCCGAGGGAAAGAAGAACATTATTATTCTCTGCCACCATGACAAAGAAGGTACAAAAGCTGCAACGTGCATCTTTACGAAATCCTGTTAAAGTTGAGGTGTCCACCAAGTATCAAACTGTGGAAAAACTACAACAATATTACATATTTATTCCAGTAAAATTCAAGGTGATAGTCAACAACAAATAAAACAGCACAGCTATTAGTAACAAGATAGTTGTTGGCATGCAAAATATATTTATAAAAATTATATATATATATAATCTTATACATACTTTTTAAACAATTTTATGTGGCAGGATGTGTACCTGGTTCATATCTTAAATGAGCTAGCAGGCAACAATTTCATGATATTTTGTGGAACCTGCAATAATACTGTGAGAACTGCTCTATTATTACGAAACTTGGGATTCACAGCAGTTCCTCTGCACGGGCAAATGTCGCAAAACAAAAGAATCGCTGCACTGACAAAATTTAGAGCAAAAAATAGATCTATATTAATTTCAACGGATGTTGCTAGCAGGTCGGTCTCATACAATACAAAATATATTATTGAATACTAAAGCGGATTTTAATTATATTTTCCATCTGCAGAGGACTTGATATTCCGCATGTAGATATCGTTATTAATTTTGATATACCTACACACAGTAAGGATTATATACATAGAGTAGGTCGAACTGCACGTGCAGGTCGATCCGGCCGTTCGATCACATTTATCACGCAATACGATGTCGAACTGTATCAACGAATAGAACAGTTGATATCAAAACAATTACCATTATATCCAACAGAAGAGGAAGAAGTAATGTTGCTGCAAGAAAGAGTAAGCGAAGCACAGCGAATAGTGAAAATGGTAAGAACTAGTTTAAGATGAATTATTTTCAGTAAATAAATGCAAACAATATATATATACATATTGCATATAAATATTATCTTTCATTTTCTAGGATATGAAAAATATCGAGGAGAATAAAAAATTAGGTAAACGAAAGCGCGGTAGCAACAATGAAGACGACACAGAACAGTCTATTGGAGTGAGAAAAAGGATGAAAGTAAAAAGTAAAAGAAAAGTAATGAGAAAGTAATAAGAATGCTAAATATAAAATGTCATTAATATTATAATTAATTTTATTATAATAAAATCCTTTTTCTCTGTGAAACTTTGTGCTTTAAATAAAAAATATAGTAATCCTCATCTACTTTGTCTATATCTCATTTAAAAATCAATAAAAGTTTTATATATCACTGAAAAAATGATTTGTCTCATATTTATCCCAGCAAACACAGAATATTGCAGCAATATTACAACATTGCAGCAACGTTGCGACAATGTAGCTGCAATATTTTGGTTTGCTGGGATTGTATATTTTTATACTTTATATACTTTTTCACATTTATCAATTATATCTTTTTGTTCGATTTTTCTTCACATAAAATTTTAACTCATTATAAAGTATATTATATGCTATTTTGATTGGATTAGTTCCTGTAATTTGAAATACGATAATTAAGGCTCAATAATAAAATAAACGTTTTTATATTAAAGAAATTAGTATTGTATTTTAACGATTTGTAGTCTGCACAGAGCAGTATGGTATTTAAATATCACTCAAAGAGAATCACAATAAAACATATTAAGTAAAATCACAATTTTTTCATTTACGGGGAACGCGTTAGGAGAAATTAGCGAAGCATCGAAGACAAAATTCATTATTATACAACAAAGATCTTCTTTCACGCTTTTTGCATGCTTCTATACTCGAGTGTTATCACAAAGCAGAATATTCCATTTATGAGAAGAAATGCAGATAAAGGAAAACACGTTCGTCCCTACAGCAGAAAAATGTTATAACGGTCGTTATATATGTACAGCTAAACTACTTAAAATTAATTATAATATTGTAAAATCGATATTGATTGTTTTTGTCAAACCTCTATAGAAAATCAGTAAAATCCATTGTACAAGGTTTTGTAGTACAAAATACGGTATAAGAAACACGATAAGTGTCTTTTCAAATTTACACCTACGATGCCTTCTCTAATCGTTATAAGATTATTTATCGCGTGTATACAGGGTGTATCAGACCACCCGTGCCAGGCGAATATCTCAAAAACCGAGAACGGCAGACAAAAATTTTTCCTACAAAAGTTGTAGGGTTTCGAGTAACGCATTACATAGTAATATTAGTATGATTAGTATCTCTCATTATTTTGTACATAAAAGTATTAAGATAAGATAACCGAAAAATAAATATTTTACAAGATATTTTATGGTTTATGTAAAATTAAGAAATGATTTCAAGCCTCATAACTCAAAAAGTACTTGATGAAAAAATGTTTATTTATAGTGTTTTGAAAAGCTCTCGAGATAAGTTACAAGGATATGTAATGAAAAATAGGGGATTCCATTTAAGAAATTGAAGGTGATCTTTACGTGACCTTGACAACGCTATTCAAGGTCATACTAATATTACTATGTAATGCGTTACTCGAAACCCTACAACTTTTGTAGGAAACATTTTTGTCTGCCATTCTCGGTTTTTGAGATATTCGGATGGCACGGGTGGTCTGATACATCCTGTAAAGTGGTAACAGATTTTTATTATTTTTTTTATAATTTTTCAAGAAAATGCATATCATCTAATCTCGTATTGCGAAAATTAAAAAATATAAATATACATTTCTCTCTCTCTCAAGAATCTTGCCGTGTTCTGCCGTTGTCATCATTATGTTGTCATTGCAAGGGACACGATTAAAATGCTGCAGTTTTTCGAATCGTATACCCATCACGCATTTAACTCGATTATCAATGCGATACAAGCTGTTAATAATTAAAAAATTTTTAACGTATGCAGGCTCAAGTACTCGATAAAATCATTCAGTATCTTCCCATACAGCACAAACTGTTCCAGTAGTAATATTAATAATGTTGCAATATTGCAGCAATATTACCGCAATATTGCTGCAATGTTCTGTGCTGTATGAGATATCACGTTTTTAGATGATCTGAAAATATACATAATTATATATTAAGAGACTCTCTTCTACATAATATACAGGGTGTAACTGAAATGATACACTAAATTTTCGGAGCATATTTTAGAGGTCAAAATAAGACTTTTTTTCCTATGAAATGAACTCCCCTCCGAGCTAGAGGCTTAAAGTTTGGGGGAAAAAATTAAAAATTAGCTGTATTTCAGAAAAAAAGGTTTAGACATTATCTTACCTATTACCTTCTCTTGACGTTATCTATCTATCACCCTCTCTTGAAAGATAAATAAATTTGCGTTGCGGGTGTTTGATCAATTTCATACATTTTCGAATTTTAGCTCGGAGGGGGGTTCATTTGCAGACCCATGTTCATAAGAAAAAAAAGTCTTGTTTTGACCTCTACAATACGCTCCTAAAGTTTAGTGCATCATTTCACATTTCAGATACACCCTATACAGGGTGCCCCAAAACTCATAATCTTTCAAAGACAGATTCCTGGGATCATTTGGAGACGATTTTTCCTCAGTGAAAATGTCGATGAAGGCCATCATTGTTCCCAATTTTTGTCATCATATATCTTTGCAAGTAAGCCTTAAATTAAAACTCAACTAAAGTAAACTCTATTTAATATTAATCGAAGAATGTGATTTTGTTAATATTTTATTTCTACAAAGCTTAGTTTACGAAAAACCTCTTATTTCCAATAATTCGAAAATTATTAGTGCCTCGACATTTTCGTTGAGGAAAAATCGTCTTCAGATGATCCCAGGAATCTGTCTTTGAAAGATTGATTATGAGTTTTGGGACACGCTGTATATGAATTTAGTAAGCATTCACATATCGTCTCTGTGTTGTTTTATATATATATATATATATATATATATATATATATATATATATATAGGGTGATTCAAAACAACCTGATGTCTTTGAAATATATTCTTGAACAAATTCTAAGACTATTTTTCCTCTTGAAAAATTTTGTCCAAAGCTTAATTTTTGAGTTATAATAGAAAATAGTTGGCTACTCACGAGTCTGATATAACGGGCAGGCAGAGATGGCGCAATGCATCACGAGACAAATGCTCTCCTGTTTCCCCAGACAGTCAATTTTATTGCACAATATTTGATTCTTTGAAGTGTATTAAATTATTATTGCAGTTTCTGAACACAATATTTAACAATATTATTACCGTCTAGAAGGGTTATAACGTAATGTTTAAGAATAATAAAATATTTAAACGCGAAATTACATAAAGTAACAAATAAACTGGAAATGGACGAATGAAAAACGAAATAGTAATTGCAATTTGATTAAATATTCTTATCTTTAAGAAAACTGACGAATTTTATTTCTTTCTGAGGATCGTTTATAATCGCTTATAAATAACAGCTTATAAATTTCACTTGACTTTACACAATAAAAATATTACTATTTTAATAATCTTTATTATTACTTGCAAATATTTACTTCCGCACAAATTAAGACATAAAATTACACGATAAATAGCGATTAGAAGTCCCCATTTCTCTCTTTCTCTCTTTCTCTCTCTCTCTTCTAATCGCTATTTATCGTGTAATTGTATGTCTTAATTTGTGCAGAAGTAGTTAGAATTCGTTCAAGAATATCATATTTCAAAGACATCAGGTTGTTTTGAATCACCCTGTATGTAGGTATGCAGGGTCCCAGTTATTTTCCGTCATCTTTCAAAGACAGATTCCTGGAATCATTTGAAGACGATTTTTCCTCAGCGAAAATGTCAATGAAGGCCATCATTTTTTGCATGTTCCCAATTTTTGTCATGATATATCTTTGCAATTAAGTCTTAAATTAAAACTCAACTAAAGTAAACTCTATTTAAAATTAATCGAAGAATGTGGTTTTGTTAATATTTTATTTCTACAAAGCTTAGTTTACGAAAAACCCCTTATTTTCAATCACTTGTAATTCAAAAATTATTAGTGCTTCGACATTTTCGTTGAGAAAAAAATCGTCTTCAGATGATCCCAGGAATCTGTCTTTGAAAGATGACGGAAGATAACTGGGACCAATACCCAATATATATATATATATATATATATATATATATATATATATATATATATATATAATATGTCTCTTGGATCACTTAGTAAACTTGAAAAATGCGTGATTGTGCAGTTCCGTCATGTAAATAATATTGGTCGCAATTTCTGCAACAAGAGTATCCGCTTAGAATAAATGTACATATGCCACGCTTTACACAGAGGTATAATTAAATTATATCTCCCTTTTATACCTCTTTATTTTAAATAATTGTATGAGAAAATTTCAACTTAGTTTTTATTATTTAGGGGAAAGGAGGGAGTACATTTAATCTCTTTATCGAAGGTTCTTGCGATAGCAAACGATGCACCCACATAAAGGTGTCACTTCGATTTGCAATGTTATCATCTCACGTGCGAAGTTATTTATCTCAAAAAAACGTGTCGATATCATTCCTGTATATATTACTTAACATAGTAATATATAATTAAGTCTTTTGAACATTTATTTAAAATCTGATAGAGACCATATAGTGTAATAAAAATGTATGAAAAAGTATCTTAATATCTCTTAATACTTGAACAATAACAATGTCACTTTATAACTTAAGAATATAGATATTAGTATTATATCGAATATACTGATAAATGTAATTTTTTCTTTCCTCTTTTTGCTTTCTAAAATAATAAATATTAATCGATTTATTTTTGAAATGACTTTGAAACACATGAGCAAGTTGAATACTCTGCAATCACATCAATAGGATGTCAATCGGGTATATTATTTAGCATTGCAGTTTATCGACGATTTATAATAAATAAATTCGCGCGCGCGATTCTCAATAAAACAGATATGCACATGCATATCGATAGTGATAAACGTCATTCGACGATTATAATAAACTTGTGTTTTTTGTAAAGTATATTGCGAATTTAAGGGCTGCAAAGTGCAGCATGAAAAGTAGCTTAGCCTACTATATATCACGCTACTTTTTTATTAATAATATATAATGCGGTACACAATCTTAAACCTTGACGAGCCCCGACCTCAGATCAAATCGTTAGAGCACATATAAGTAACCTGTTTCGAGACAACGGAGGAATCACGATCAATCTAATCACGATGGATGGAATGTTTTTTTTTTCCAAATACAGGCTGCGAGATGACGTGCT